ACCTGTGGGGCCTCTCGGGCCTGTGGTGCCTGTCAGGCGGCCCAAAGGAAGCGTGTGAATCCCAGAGGAGCGGAAGTTCGCCTGAAGGACCTCTCCCCCGAAGATCGGAGGCGGTTCGCCGAAGCTGACGCTAAGGAGTGGAACGCTACGCTGGCGACGGGAGCTGTGCGTGTGCTATCCCCAGAAGAATCCCGATTGGCCCGCCGTCGCCACCCCGACCGCATTCTGTCCTCCAGGATGGTGCGCCGGCTCAAGCCGGTCGAATGAATCGGGCCCAGTCCTGCGACTCAGTCGGACAGCGTGCTGCTGGACCTTAAGGTCGTTTGTTCCTTGGGCTGGTCCTTGGCCATAACAGACGCGAGTAATGCGCTCTGCCAAAGCAAGAATCGGGGAACGAAAAGTGACATAAACATCAAAACTCGGAGGTCCGCGCTTCTCGGGGCGGCGCCGGAGGCGCCGCCGGGGGGCCCCAGCGCCGATCCGAGAAATCCGCGCGGACCTCCGAGTTGTTATGTCTATGTCACTTTTTGCTCCCCTAAAGAAGCTGGAGAGGCCCCGGGGTTCGCTCTGTGGAGCCGTGCGCCGGATTGCCACTGGGACCCGATCGCTCCTCCTCGAGCTGGCTGCGCCGGCATGCGGGCTCGACGATGCCCCGTTGCTGTGGCACCGTGCAGGGCAGTTTTTAATACATCGGATCTGCAAAACATGGGATTTTAATACATATGATTCATTTATTTGTTGAAGTATTAATCATATAATGCATATGCTTAACTTATGAATGAAATTATGCATGAACTCATCGTTGTTTTTAATATTATATCCCTGCAATTTTAATACATGATCCGCACGCGGAGCATGTATTAAAAACGGCACTGTACGCTGACTGACTGGCTCGCGTCCGAGAGGTTTGTGCGGTCGCTTCTGGAGCCCTGTCTTTGGTTAAAGAGGGATCGGATGGGCTATCCAGAGGGCCTCGTAGTCATCGAAGTGGATGATCTGATCGTCTCCGGTCGCCCCTCGTTTCAGGAATCGTTCAGGGAGCGTGCAAAACCACCCGAGTTAAGCTGGGCAAGTGGTAGGTCGGGAAGGCCGACTATGCCAGCCGCCACCTCAGAGAATATCAGGACCGCATCACCGTGGACCAAGAGAAGTATATTCGAGAGCAATTATCGATTATGCCTCTCGATCGCTCTCGCCGAGCGTCTCCAGAGTCCCTGTTGCCCCGTCTGAAGTCGCCTCTTAACGTGCTGTCATCGCCCAGGTCCAGTGGGTGGCCCGTGAGTCTCGCCCCGACGTTGCTGGAGCCGCGTCGATTTTGGCCAGTGCAATGCCATCGCCGACCGTGGCCAACGCGATCACTCTGATCAAAGTTTGCAAACTTTTGAAGGCCACCACCGGTCAGAAGCTCACGTTATGGGCCCTGGATTCGTTTCCCTTACGTTTGTCACCGCCTCCGACGCGGGAGGACCTGGCTCAGCCAGCAGGAGGGGTGTGCAGGGAGCCTGGCTTGTCATAGCGGCTGATTCTGCGATTCGGGCCAATCAGCGTTCTCGAGTGCCCCTGCCGTCGTGGCATTCTCAAAGATTGAAGCGGGTCATCAGCTCGACCGTGGCCGCTGAGACCCTGGCTCTGTCCAGCGCGGTGGCAGAAGCCCAGTGCTTGCAGGTAATGTAGAGAGACGCAGTGTTTAATGACGTTCCCTGGCCTGACTAGGATATCGAACCTTCACCCTTCTCGGTGGTTATGTCACGGTCGTGTGAGCTAGCAGAGAAAGCGCCTTCGTTGTCCATAATCGACGCCAAGTCCGTTTTCGACACGTGGGCCCAGGGGTCCACAGGGTCTCGGGCGGACCGGAGGAATGCCATCGAGCTGGCCGTGGTGCGAGACGCCCTTAGCAGTGTAGGTTCTCAAGTGCGCTGGCTTCCCCACGGGAGGATGCCAGTCGACCCCCTCACTCACGCCGATCCGGCCCGAGGAAATCTTGCTCTGCATGATCTCTTATGACTTGGGACCCTGTGTTTCATAGATGAAGGCGGACACCTAGACAAGCGCTCACTAAACATGTCCCTCAAGAGTAGATCCCCAGAGGAATGTCGAGAAAACCTCTTTCGGACCAGGCAATGAGAAGGAAAGAAGAAGAGGAGGAGGAAGAAGACCCCGAGAGGGAAAGAGCTGCTGTGAACGCTACAAGACCGGAGGAAAAAGAGAGTGAGGTGGAGGACAAGAGGAGGAAGAGGAAGGAGAAGGAGGGAGAGGAGGTGGAGGAGGAGCCCGGGCCGCAGGGAAGGCCAGGCCCCGCCAGAGCCGGCGCCGCGGCAGCGCTGCCGAATGCGGAACACCCCGCTTACATCATGCTCGAGGCCGGTGCTCAGGCCACGAAAGTTGGGCCCGCTGTCCCCTGTGTGGCCCCAGGGGGAAGCCCACGTCCCTCTCTCTCCCGTCCCCTCTCCATGTCCTTCGCACCCGCAGCCTTTTTTAGGCTTAGGCCTTAGAGTCGGCGGGAGACTCTCTTGGCGTACTGAAATATCTCCCTCGCCCCTCCAGCCCCCCCCGTGTCCTCTCGTGGTTCCCTCACCCTTTGACGGCGCCGCAGAATTCCGCCCCACCCCGCCCTGCCCCGCCGGTCCCGCACGCCCGATCCGCTCACCCCCCCTGGCTGACCACAAACGTGCTGAGTCCCTCACTTGAATGTCCCGGCCGCTTGGCCCGCCTCTTTTGCCTGGGAGCGAAGGCGGGGTAGGTAATTCACGCTCTTTAGGAGAGGAGGAGGAGAGGAGGAGGAGGAGGAGGAGGAGGAGGAGGAGGGAGGAGGAGGAGGAGGAGGCAAACGATGAAGGAGGGAGGAGGAGGAGGAGGAGGAGGAGGAGGAGGAGGAGGAGGGATCCTGCATGTTCCGCCCGCCCGGCCCGCCGCGCCCGTGGGCCACGCGCCCCCCGACCACGCTCGAGAGAGGGAGAGCGCGCAATGGAGCCCTGCACTCTCCTGCCCCGCCAGGCCGCACCGCCCTGCCCCGTCCGCCTCGCACCTCCTCCTCCTCCTCCTCCTCCTCCTCCTCCTCCTCCTCCTCCTCCTCTCCTCCTCCTCCTCCTCCTCCTCCTCCTCCTCCCCTGCTCCTCCTCCCCCCTCCTCGCCCACGCCGTTCCTCATTGCGCCTTCCTCCCTTTCCTCCTCCCCCTCTCCTTTCTCATCCCCCCTCTCCTTTCTTTCTCCTTCCCCCCCCTTCCTTCTTTCCCCCCCCCTCCTCCTCCTCCTCCTCCTCCTCCTCCTCCTCCTCCTCCTCCTCCTCCTCCTCCTCCTCACTCTCTCTCTCTCTCAGAGAGAGAGAGAGAGAGAGAAAGAGAGTCACGACGCTTGAGTGTCCCGCCCGCCCGACACGCTTTGCCCCATGACCTTGTGTCGGGCGTTGGCAGAACTGGGTCTAGTGGAACCCGGTTTAGCGATGTGTACTGGGGGACGCCCCCCCGCCCCGCTCCACTGACCAGAACTGCCGCCACCCGAAAAAACACCAGCTGCGGCAGACCTGGTTTAGTGATCCTGGCCGATTCAAGGGCTCCGGGGCCCTACCACTAACCGAGTCCCCTTACCTGGGGTCCTGGCTATACCCGATGATTCGGGGATGGACAGACCCCCCTGTAGCAAAACGCGGTTTAATGAAAACGACCTGAGGCCCAAACCTGGCAGGCGCAAGCCTGGAAAATAACGGCCACGGCGCCATCTCGAGAACCGAAAACGGACAATTCACTAATCGACGTGTCACTGTTGGGGGTTCTGTCCACCCCCGAATAATGCCTCGGCCGACCACATGCGGCAGAGATCCCACACTTGAATGAGTCCCGCCCACACGACCCGCCCGCCCGCGGCCGCCGCGCCCGCGGGCCCCCGGGGCCGCCCGGCCACGCTCGAGGAAGCTCCGCGCTCTGGTGCCCCGCCCGCCCGCCCCGCCGGGCCCCGCAAGCCCTGCTTCGAGAGGGCCCTACGCTTCGGTCGGGCGTGTCCCCCTACCGGCGGATTTTGGACGACAAATAAAGAAACAAAAATATCCCAAAATGGAAAAAAAATCGTTCCCAGGCGTCAGGCGTTGTTTGCTACAATTTTTGAACACTCCTCCTGCAGAGGAAGAGGCCCGACTTCACCCTACACTTGAATGCATCACACGCCCCACTCGCCCTGCTCCGTTCGCCCACGCGTCGCCCGACTCGGGAGAGATCCGACACGACGCGATCCGTGTCGCCCGTTAGGTCTTCTTCGCCGGACCACACGCTACGAAGATCACGCACTCTAGCGCTGCGCCCACCCGACCCGCCCCGCTTCGCTGGCCCTGCCTCGAAAGAGAACCGTACTCTTTCACAGCTTGCCCGCCCGACTCGCCCCCCTCCTCCGACACGCCCTGGCACGAGACATGAACCATGACTGCGCCGGAATTGGACATCGGATCGTTCAAATGGTCAATATGGATCATCTGTTTTGACGAAACTGGACGAAAACACGGCTTTGAATGTTCAATCAGCAACCCAAGGATTGAGCATGCTGAATTTTTCGATGTTCGATCCGCAGCCCTGGGATTGGGAGTTTCAAAATTGATCTCTTCAATGAGTATTGTTTCGAATGCGGAGGTCTGGCTTGATTTTTGGGGGTTTCTTGAGCTTCCGATGCCGCGCCGAAGCCCCAACTAATTTCACGAAGGACAAAATGATGGCGGGGGGCAGGGGGATGAGAAAAAAGAAAGGAGGGGATGAAGGGGAGGAAGGGGAGGACCGAGGGGGAGGGGGGGAGGAGGGATGGCGGCGAGAGCACGGGGAGGAGGGGAAGGGGGAGGAAGGGGGCATGAGGGAGGAGAAAGGAAAGGGAGGGGGATGGGGGAGAAAGGAGAGAGGGGATGAGAAAGGAGAGGGGGAGGAGGAAAGGGAGGAAGGCGCGACGAGGAACGGGGTGGGCCGAGGAGGGGGGGGGAAGGAGCAGACGTGCCCCTGCCGCGGGCCCCGCCTGCCCCATTGGGGCTCCTTGAGCTGGTCGACCACGTCCTGCAGCTTGGAGTTGATCCTGGGCGGCGGGGGGAGGAGGTGAGGGTCGGGCGATGCAGGGGGAAGGCATGACGACGAGTGGAACGAATGACAAGTAAAGAGGGACGGGGGCGGCGCGGGGAGGGTGGAGGGGAGGAACGAGGGAGGAGGACAACTTCAGGAGGAGGAATCAGGACGAAAGGTGGGAAGGGGAAGTGCTGATGGCGAGAGTGCTATAGCGCAGCCGGCACCCAACATGCAGTGATAACATGGCCAAAAGGATGAAGTTCCTCTTGGCGCCCACGGAGGAAGATCCATCCACGGACACCAGAAGCGCACAACAACCTTCCCCCCCTTCTCCTCCTCCTCCTCCTCCCGCTCCCTCCTCCTCCTCCTCCTCCTCCTCCTCCTCCTCCTCCTCTGCCCTCCTCTCCATCCTCCTCCTCCTCCTCCGCGCCTCCCCCTCCCTACGCCTTGCCTCGATGCTCCTCCTCCTCTTCCTCCTCCCCACACTTTGCCTGCATGCTTCCCCTCCCTTGCCTCCCTGCTCCTTCACTTTCCTTCCTTCTTCTTCTTCTTCTTCTTCTTATTCTTCTTCTTCTTCCTCCTCCTCCTCCTCCTCCTCTCCATCCTCCTCCTCCTCCTCCTTCCTCCTCCCCGTCCCGTCCCCGTCCCCGTACTCGTCCTCGTCCTCCTCCTCGTCCTCGTCATCCTTCTCCTCCTCCTCCTCATCCTCCTCCTCCTCCTCCTCCGCGCCCCCTCCCTATACCGCCTTGCCTCCCTGCCCCGCCCGGAGGGCAGCCGGGCCGCCTCTGCACGGTCTCCAGGTCCTTCGCGGTGAGCCTCGGCGAGGTGAGCAGCCGCGGCTCCCCCTCCGGCGCCGCGGCCGCGCCTGGCTGCACCTGTCGGGTCGGGCGAAAGGGGGGGATAGTAAAGGGGGGGTTTGAGAATCAGCTCACGTAGCTGATTTTCCCGGCGCCTCCTGGTGCCGGAGGCGGCTATGTATCAAGGAATGGGCCCCTCGGTGAGGCCGAAACCAGCTGCATGCAGCAAATTTCGTAACCCCCACTTTCCCAATCCCCCCCTGTCGTCCGGCCCGAACCTGGGGCCCGGGGTTGGTGGTGGGGAGCGGGATGCCCAAAGGAATGAAAGAGTAGGAGAGGATGGGAGGGGCGTCGTCCTCGTCGTCGTCGTCGTCGTCGTCGCCGTCGTCGTCGTCGTCGTCGTCGTCGTCGTCGTCGTCGTGATCGGGGGGCGAAATGCCCAGAGGACTAGAAGGAGGGGATGGCAAGGGTGGGGGACGAGAGGCTCTCTCCTCCGCCTCCCCCCTCCTGCCCTGTCCGCAGCTCCTTCTCCCCTGCTCCAACTCTGGGTTCTTTCGTTCTCCTGCTCCTGCTCCTCCTGCTTTCCCATCAACTTGATCGCATCTGCTCAACTCCACAAACTTTAGGTCGGGCCTGTCCCTCTACAGGCCGATGTCGCGGATCAGTTGATAATTATTTCAAAATCTTAACAATACTTAAACATTTCCCAAAATAGTACCCATCATTGTTTCACCATTATTGAATATTCCTCATGTAGAGGGACAGGCACGATTTAAGTCAAATTCCACCTCCGTCGCCTTAGATGCGCTCCTCGGGTACACATGGCGTCGCCTATTTCTGTCGCATGTAATTGACCCTTAGGCTCGCGACATGTTTGCTCTTGCATTTGTCTGCTATATTTCAGTCGGGCATGTCCCCCTACAGGCGGATGTTCGAAGAAACATTTGAAATTGCCCAAAATACATCAAGCATGGTAAAAGCAAGTGTCAAGAAAACGTCCCCGGACTATTGTTTGACTATTTTTGAATATCCCCCCTGTAGAGGGACAGGCCCGACTTAATGCTGTATAGTACAGAAATGAATCCTGGACTCCTGCACAACTGAAACAATGCGAATGATGGCCTCGCCCCATGTCGAAGATTTTTGGTAGTGCTTCCGAAGGTCAGCTCTGCCGTCACTAGGAGGACTGGTCTACTCGCCTGGGCGGCACTCGAAGAATCACCCTACGCCGCAGAAGCCCGTTTGGTGCGACATGCTGATTTGGGCAACTGGCGGTGCCGCCAAGGCCTCCGCGAGGCGTAGCAGCGCATGCTCGTCCTTGTCAATCAGAATCACCCCCACTCGTTTCGACTGCACACGCACCTTCTCGCTGTCAACCATTACCCTCCGTGATAACTAGTCGCGCGTCGCCTGGGGCTTAGCCTTCGCCTGCTCAGAAGCGCGGCTGCAGATTCCCCTCGGAAGTCGCCCCCTTGCTTTTTTTCACGGAGGCGCGCCGAGGGGATGAGATCGCGACCGCATGCTCCACCATATCACCGTGCGCGACAGCAGGTGCGGGGAAAAACCTGATCGGACAAGAACGGGAAGCGCCGCTGTAGTCTAATGGGCGTGTTGGGCAAAGAAGAAAAGGAAGGCGAGGACAACGAGGAGTCGATGAAGAGGACGACGTGGCGAACGTGAGGGTAGCGAGGAGGAGCATAATCACCGTGCGCGACAGAAGGTGCGGGGAAACATCCGCCGGCCCCCGCTTGCCGGGGGGTGAAAAGGCGTGTGAGACATGCGGCTGTCCCCCATCCCGCTTTCCCCCTCCCTCGGAACAAACATACCATTCTGGCGAGGGGAGAGGGGGGAGAAGGGCGCCCAGGTGAGCTCCACGACGATCCAAGATGGCTTCAAGATGGCCCACGAGGCCCCCAAGACAGCCCCAAAGCCCCTCCAGAGGATCGCCGAGAGGGCCCCAAGAGGCCAAGGTCATCGCACTCCTTTGGAAAGGAATGCATTTTCAGTACATTCTCATTTTGCGTTTAGACAGCGAGCACGACGTCGAAAGTGGCCCCAAAAACGCCCCAAGACGGCCCATGATGCCTCCAAGAAGTCCCCAAGACGGCCCCAAGACGGCACAAAGACAGCCCCAGGCAAGTCCCAAGATGGCCCAAGACAGCCCTTGAAGGGCCCCAAGAGGGCTCCAAGAAAGCCCAAGGGGAGGAATGCAAACTAACATTCCGAGCCTTTCTCACCAAGATGGCCCCTCGAGCCCCCCAGAGGCCCCCGAGGGCCCTCCAAGAGGCCCCAAGAGGCGTCCAAGACGCCCCCAAGAAGCCCCCCCTCACGAGGTTCCCCCAAAGCCTCCCACATGCCCCCGAGAGTTCTCCAAGAGGCCCCGAAGAGGCATCCCAAGAGACCCTCAGATTCATCCGGGAGGCTCCTGACCCAAGACATTACCTCCACGATCGTCTGAAACACTCACTCCTTGTGGGGGCCGGCGGATGGCGTGGGCCACTTCAATAACCGACGGCAGAGAGCGAAACTACGACTGCAGGAGGAACTAGCACCAGCTGCACTGGGAAAAGGGGGAGTGGGAGAGGAAGGACGAGCAGGGAAGGAAAGGAACGAGCACAGCCGCCAACTACTCGGAGGACCCCCCTGGACCCACGACGTGATGCTCCCCCAGGCGCCATGCGACCATGGAATTCGATGCGGCGGCAGCCGGACGAAACAGTTAGAAGACGAAGCACAGCGCTTCGGCGGCACTGATGTTACGCCGCCCTGCTGCTCGCACTTCAGGGAGGTAAGACTCTGTGGAGAGACTGTGCCGATCAGGACGCGTGTCACCTGACGCGCCGCTTGAGCGAAAGTGGCTGCAGAACTGCAACCTGAGATACTGCACGCCAGATGACGACAACGGCCTTTCAGGCTTCCGAAGTTGACCTGGACGTCTCACTAGCAAAGCGACACCAGCGTACTGCCCAACGACTACTACGACCAACACCACCACGATCTACAAATAATGAAACGCTTTCGAATGTGATCAATCGGGTCGAAATTGACCCTGCGACTCGGGGATCTGGCTTCTGCTACTGATACCCATCCGGCAGCCCAAGCGAGCAGCGGCGGCCGAACGACTCGCGCGCGGGGGGGGGTCCACGAGTTGAAAAATTGTCCAGGATCCTTGGCAACTCTGGGGCGGGATCCGTTGCCAGGACTTCTATTGCCAGGAACTTTTGCTCAGCATGTCGCGGCGGCGGCCCCGGTGACACGCCCCGCGAGCGGATAGCGTGTCGCTCCGCTCCGCGGGGCGAAGGCTGGGATCACCTTGGGACGTTGACTCAGACGCTTGGGAATGGAAAGTGGATCGCCTGTCGAGCCGCAACGCGGTGGGCCAAAACTCAAACCAGGACAGATCGGGAATTTCTGAGACCTAATTACAGAGGAAACACAAACAACATAAACATAAACTTTTAATGGCCCGCGGGGATTTCTTGGAGCTGCACCGGACCCCCTCAGTGGCGCGCGTAGCGCGCCGGAAACGGCGCGGGAGGCGCCGCCAGGGGGGCCCCAGCGCGGATCCAAGAAATCCGCGCGAAATGCCAAAAGTTTATGTTCATGGCGTTTCTCCGTCTTCGACATATCCTGAGCATATTCTTAGGGTGGAGGGCTCAGGGTGGAATCCCTATGGGCTTTCGCACCTCGAAAATCAGTACGTCTTGTGATTCACCTCTTGCAGACTCAAGCCTCGAAAATCCACCGAAGCGGCATGTCAGATTTCACCCTTTGCCCTCCACCCGAAGACCATGCTCGGATAGCTGAGACCCAGGGGTGCTGGAGGACATGTCGGAACGCTCCGAGGGCGCTCCGGAGCGCTCTCTGCAACGAATCTCGGGGATGGACAGACCCCCCTTTAGTAAAACGTGGCTTAGTGAAACCATTCTGAGGCCCAAACCTGGCGGGCGCAAGCCTGGAAAATGACGGCCGCGGCGCCCTCTCGAGAACCGAAAACGGACAATTCACTAATCGACGTGTCACTGTTGGGGGTTCCGTCCACCCCCGAGGCCCACGCCATGATATCCACACACCCCTAGTCATCACCCCCCTCTTTGCCGCCACCGACCAGGGGTGCTGGAGGACGTTTCGGAACGCTCCGAGGGCGCTCCGGAGCGCTCTCTGCCACGAATCCGCCCAGTCCTGGGCCCGCCCGACCTCCCCTGCGAAACCTGGGCGCCCGGGATGGTCACGGGCACATGGGGTTACGATTATGTCGGGCCTGTCCCCCGTACAGGGGGATTTTCGACGAAAAACAAAAGATACCCCAAAGATACACCAAACAGGTAAAAAACCTACCCCTAAAATAGTCCCCAGACTAGTTTTGGATTATTTACTATTTTGGGGGTATTTCTTTTTCGTCGAAAATGCCCCTGTAGGGGGACAGGCCCGACTTACGAGTACGATGTCCAACGACAAATGTCGTCTAAAAACGATCGGCGCCGAGCGAGAGTCGAGGTCTCGCAAACATGGATCAGCGATCCATGGACTTGGCGCGCGGTCGCCAAATCCATGGATCGGCAGAGGTACCTTCCCCCAAATGCGGCCGGTGCCGCCTCGCTCGGCGGCGGAAATCCGCGATTTCCACTGGAAACGGGACCCGTCGCTAATCCACGCCCCCTTAATTTACGTTTGCGATCGCCTGAGAGAAGGGGGGAGTGAGAAGGCGAAGGCCATCTCAAAAGGCGGCGGGGCTCCTCAGAAGCCCTCGCGCCTTCAAAAGAGTGTTCTGTGCCTTCGGGGAGGGCTTAGAAAACTTCTCAGAAGGCCGGGGACTTCCGAGCCTTCTGAGAAGGCCCGTCCCTTCTGACTTCCCCCCCTCGCTCGCCGCCGAAACGACAGCGGCCGCTGCTGGGCAAGCGGCGCTCTGTCTCGAGCGGACCACGTCCGCGGCGGCACCGACGGCGAGTCCTGTGCAAAATACGCCAGACAAATGCTGTCGGTCATTGTCTCCCTTCTCTCCGTAGCCGTTTTTGAAGGGGCCATGTGACACACGCACACACACACACTCACACACACACACAAACATACACACACTGACACACACACACAAATAAATAGACACAACTCCCAGGATCCCCTATATGTTCCAATATTTTCTTAGATTTCGTCGTCCCTCCCACTTCCTATATTTTCCCATGACCACTTGCGCGATCCCTATGACCACTTGCGCGGCCTGGGCCCCTCTGGCCGACGTGCGCCCCCCTAGATTGGGGGATACGGTGAAAACGTATAGCAAGGACGCGTGGCAAGGACGCAAGACCCCTGGAGGCCGAAGCTGAAGTAGCCTGGCCTGCGAAAACTGCTAGGGACGGGCCGCAGAGGCCGAGGCAGGCACTGGCCATGCACACGTCCGAGCGATGCCAAGGGCAAGGACCCGCGGGCGCCCTTGAAAAAGTCGCTTGTCCGTACTATGCGCGTGGACTGCGAAAACTGCGAGGAACGGACCGCAGAGGCTGAGGCAGGCAAGGACCCACGGGCGCCCTTGAAGAAGTCGTTTGTCCTTACTATGCGCGTGGACTGTAGGGGCCGTTGCCCTCGGGCTTCGAGGGGGCCTATCCCCGACCGGGGCGGCGGGATGGCGGGGCGGAAGGGCAAGGAGAGGGGGGGGGCACTGGCGTAGGGTTATGTCGGGCCTGTCCCCCTACGGGGGGATTTTCGACGAAAAATGAAAAGCAACCCCGAAATGGTTTAAAAATGATCCAAAAATAGCCTGGGGACTTTTTTTTTAATATTTGTTGGCCTTTTTGGACTATTGTTTGGGAATTTTTATGTTTTCGTCGAAAATCCCCCTGTAGGGGGACAGGCCCGAATTGGCGATACACCATCGACAGATCGGAAAAAGGCCCCCGACACCGAATCCGCACGTTCTTGGGCAGGATGGGGCTATTTTGACGAGCGAAGAGCGGTATTAAGAAAAACTGGTTCGTCACCAGGGACAGGCGCCCCTGGCGACGAAAACAATTATGTTCTGCCTTTCTTCGCCCGCGAGAATACAATTGTGCCCCCATCGGCGAGGAGTGGACGATTGGGGGTCGACGTATCCCTCCCTTCTGCCTGTCCCCCCCCCTGTCGTGGCCCCTGTGGGGCTGAGAGACCATGGCCCAGTCTGCCGACCTGTCCTCCCTCAGCCCGCCCTCCACATCGCCCTGGCCTTACGTCGGGCCTGTCCTCCTACCGGGGGATCTTGGACGAAAAATTAAAAAAAATGAAACAATTATTTTTGACCCGCGGGTCCAGAGCGCACCTCTTCTGGTCGAAGCTACGCGGGCCGCGCACAGCTTTAATTAACAAAGGGGGGGCAGAAGGAGGGGCCTCACGTCGAGGCCAGGAGGAGGCAAAGCCCCAGAATCAGGCGGTGCCGAAGACGACGTGCTTGCAAACATAGTTAAAACAAATACCCCTGACATGATCAACAGATAATCAAAACATCGTCACCATACTATTTTGACAGCTACTTTTGAATATTCCTCCCTTGGAGGGACACGCCCGACTTACCTTTACGCCTGTCCTTTCCTGTCGTTGCCCCCGCTCGCCATCGCTCGGACGTCCATTCCCTGTGTTGTTTCGGTTTCGTGCGTGGCTTTTTCGCCAAATGATCAAGGATGTTCCTCGATGGCCCTCGCCGAAGGAAAAATGCACACGTCCGAGCGATGCCAAGTACGATTGTCACAACTGTTTTTGAGCATTCCTCCCGTAGAGGGAGAGGCCCGACCTGACTTTACGCCTGTCCCTCCCTGTCCTTGCCCCCGTGGGGCTGAGCTACCACGGCCCCGTCTGCCGACCTGCCCTCCCTCAGCTTATGTCGGGCATGTCTGAAGGGGCCCTGGGGCACACAAATAAATACACACAATTAAAAGGATTCCCCATATTTTCCTATATTTTCTGAGTTTTTGTCTTCCCCCCCACTTCCCATATTTTCCCATATTTTTTGGGGAATCGACGATTAATTGTGTCTGTGTGTTGTTGTTCCCTCCTGAATGTCCCCCTACAGGCGGACTTTGGACGAGACACTCAAACACTTTCCCACACAAAAATGAATGAAACATCGTCCCCAGACTATTTTTCTCAATATGTTTGGATATTCCTCCAGCTCCCACCCCACCTCCCCGACCCCGGTTCCGATCCCGGCCCCTGTTTCTCCGACTCCGGCTCACGATCGTGATCTTTATGTTGGCAGGAATTATTGAAGGTTTTCCGACTCCGGCTCACGATCTAGATGATTTCTGTTGACAAGAATGCTTGAATGTCTCCTTCTGGTTCCGACTCTGGCTCCCATCTCTCCGACTCCAGCCCTGGCTCCGGCTCCCGACTTTACGATTCCAACTCCCGCTCATTTTTAAGACTCCGTTTCCAATTTCGGCGCTAATTTCTCCGACTCCAGCTCCGATTCCAGCTCCCTGATTTCCGACTCCGGCGCCCGTCCCATTTCTCCGACTCCGGCTCCGACTGCGGTGCCCGTCTCTCCGACTCCGGCTCCAATTCCATTTCTCGCCTCTCCGACGCCAGCTCCCATCCCGCCTCCCCGACCCCGGATCCGATTCCAGCTCCCGCCTTTTCGACTCCAGCTCACGATCTTAATTATTTATGTTGGCTGAATGGTTGAAGGCATTCTGCAGGTTCCGACTCCGATGGGCCCGACTTGCTGCACAACCACGACCTCCGGCAAGCAGTCCGCGGACACGGGGGTCTGACAGCAAACATGTTCGAAGCGAACGATGACTTATACCAGCACAGGACAGCACTCAATGGAGCAATTTGGAACAAGCGTTCCTACGCCACACACACAGCACTGACCACAAATTCCACATCTGCAACTGAGGGCCCCGGCCCGCCCGCGCCGGCCTTCCAGGCCCCGCCTCCCCGGCGGACTCAGGCGCGCCTCGCCTCGCCTCGCCTCGCCTGTAACTGTAGAGGGGCACGCCCGACTTAACCCTCAGCCCGCCCTCCATACCGCCCTGGCCCTTTGTTGGCCCCAGAAGCGGCAGGGCCGTTTTTCACCGCTTCCAGAAAAATGTTCCTTGAAAATGGAAACGGCAACAAAAACGGCGACAGGAAACGGCGCAAAAACAGCTCCAGGATTGGAGCCGGAGCCGGAGCCGGTCGAAAAACGGCGACGGAGCCGGTATAACAAAAACGGCGTCGGAACCGGCAAACAAACGGCAAAACGGAACCAGTAACAAAAACGGCCCTGTCGTTTCCAGGACCCACCAAGCCCTGGCCTGCGCCAGCGAGGCTGCGGCCTGCGCCGATTGCGCCGCCCGGGCCTTCCGGGGGGCTTGCCGGCTGCAGTGGCACCCCATCAGAGAAGGGTTTGTCACCCTGGAGGACAGAGCTCCCACGCGCTCTGCGGCCCGAGGGAGCGGGGAGGGAGGAGGAACGAGGGAGGAGGAACGAGGAGAGGGAGGAGCAGGACCAGGAGGAGCCGTCGCCGTCGCCGCCGCCGTCGTCGACGTCGCCGCCGCCGCCGCGGCCGCCAACATCATTGTCGTTGCCGCTGCCGTCAGTCGATATCGCCGCCGCCAGACGACCAAACCGGGCGCCACCAACTTCGTCGCCGCCGCCGGCGCTAGGCCGCCGCCCCGCCGCCGCGTCACAGCCGCTGCATGCCGCTGTGCCCTGTGCTGCAGGGTGGCGGCGGTGGGCGGCCCTCCGCGCGGCCCCCAAACCTCCTAAGTAAGGGGCACGCTCTGCAGGGCCCGCCTCGCGAGGCGGACCCGGACGCGAGCGACGCGAGGCCCTCCCGGAGCTCCCCCCCCTCTCCGGCGGCCCTCCTCCTCCTCCTCCTCCTCGTTCTCCTCCTCCTCCTCCTCCTCCTCCTCCTCCTCGTTCTCCTCCTCCTCCTCCTCCTCCTCAAGCCTCCTCCTCCTCCTCCTCCTCCTCCTCCTCCTCCTCCTCCTCCTCCTCCTCCTCCTCCTCCCCCAGCGGCCCTCCAGGCGACGGAAAGCACCCCAACAGGCCTCGGTCCAGGGCCTCTCTTCCGCGCGGCCACCGCACTCCATGTCCACCGTCGCCGCCCCCGCCGCGGACGCAATCCATCGCCGTCGCCGCTGCTGTCACGGACGCCGGCCGACGACGCCGCGGGCGATGTGTTCGTCGTCGCCGTCGCTGCCGCCGCCGCTCTGCAGCCGATAGCGGCGTCAGGGCGCGGACCCTCCAAGAACGGAGCGGTGGCGCCGCGGGGGCTTGGAAACAAGGCCGGAGTGAAATGCTATCAGCGCCGTGTGAGCGTGACGCACGAGTGGACGGGGGAAAAGGAGGAGAAGAAGAAGAAGAAGAAGAAACACTCGCCGGCCTAACGGGCCAGAGGCGTGCTAAGATCTCCAGTAACTGGTTAATAGTCTTCTAATTCGCGCGCGCGCGCGGGGCGGCCCCTGGGGGCCCCCGGACGAAAAGTACCCCGAGAAGGTCCCCGCCAAGTGGGGCCCAGAGATGGTGTTCTTCCTCGGCGCTGCCTTCAAGGCTTTCCAGAGCGTCCCAGGAACGCCGAGCCCCGAGACGCGCCCGAAACCTTCCGAAAGGCCTTGGGTCGCCGCACGATCGTTCCAAGACGCCCAAGATGGCCTCCGGACGGCCCAAGCCGCCGCCAAGAAGCCCCAAGAGAGCCTCAAGAAGCCGTCCAAGAGAGTCTCAACAACCAAACATCGTCGCATTTCCGTCCGAAAGCGCACATGTTCCGCATTTGCAACTCTTGGGGGTTCAGAGCGTCCAGTACTGCCCAAGAGACCCCCAATATCGCCCAAAGACGGCCCAACGGGCCCCCTAAGATGGGCCAAACACGGCTGAAGAGGACCCCAAGACTGCCCAAAAGGCGCCCAGTACAGCCCAAGACGGCCCCAAGAGGGGACCAGGAGGCGCCCAAAACGGCCCAAGGGGCCCCCAAAACGGCCCAAGAGGCGCCCAAGAGGGGGAGTGCGATGCGAAACTTCGAGTCTTCAGCCCCCCAAAAAAACCCAAAGGCCCCAAGAGGACCCCTGGAGGCCCCCAGGAGGCCCAACAAGTGCACTCCAGACGCTCCCGAGAAGCCTCCCACGAGACCCCATCAGCCCTCCGAGTGGCCTCAGACCCACACAACCACGCAAACCAACGAAGCCTCCCACAAAAGCTTCTTGACGATGACCGTCATCGACTCCAATCGTGCCACGGCGCGCCATCCAGAGACTCCTCCCCCTCCCCCTTCCCCTCCCCCTCCTCCTCCTCCTCCTCCTCCTCCTCCTCCTCCTCCTCCTCCTCCTCCTCCTCCTCCTCCTTCTCTTCCTCCTCCTCCTCCTCCTCCTCCTGTTCCTTATCATTCTCCGCTTCCTCCTCCTCCTCCTCCGCTTCTTCCTCGTCCCCAATGTCCAAAATAACCCCCCAAGGCTCCCAAACGGCCCCCAAGAGAACACAAGAGGCGTCAACACTGCCGCAAAGAGACTCCCGAAAAACGACTGCCAAGAGACCCAGCAGCGCCGCATTGACAACGATCCCTCGGGCAAACGGCAGAAATGAGGCTACATGCGGCTACATGGGCCGGCGGCATGAGCGAAGCGATTACATAAGAAGAAGGCAAATAATAATAATGGTAATAAGAAGAAGCATCGGAACAATAATATTAATAGTAACAAGAAGAACAAAAATAACGGACGCCAGAAGCAAGGAACTACGGTCAAGAACTTTGGGATCGCGTGCCGCTCCGCCAGCTCCGGCCCACCACGGCTCGGAGCGCAACGCCGGCTGTCCACTTCTCGGCCCTACGAGGCGCCACCGCCCCGCCTCCCCGAGCCACCGCCCCGGCCCGCGGCGCGGAACGACACGCTGTGTCCCGCTGATTCCCGACCGCACCTACGGGAGAGGCCCTCCGCCCCATCCTCCTCCACCACCACCTCCTCCTCCTCCTCCTCCACCACCTCCCTCCTCCTCGTCTTCCACCACCTGATCCTCCTCCTCCTCCACCACCTCCCTCCTCCTTCTCCTCCTCCTCCTCTTCTTCTTCTTCTTCTTATTATTCTTCTTTTTCTTCTTCTTCTTCTTATTATTCGTCTTCGTCTTCTTCTTCGTCTTCTTCTTCTTCTTCCTCCTCCTCTTCCTCTTCCTCTTCCTCTTCCTCTTCCTCCTCCTCCTCCTCCTCCTCCTCCTCCTCCTCCTCGTCCTCCCTCCTCCTCCTCCTCCTCCTCCTCCGCCGCCTCCGCCTCCGCCTCCGCCTCCGCCTCCGCCTCCGCCTCCGCCTCCGCCTCCGCCTCCGCCTCCGCCTCCGCCTCCGCCTCCGCCTCCGCCTCCGCCTCCGCCTCCGCCTCCTCCTCCTCCGCTCCTCCTCCTCCTCCTCCTCCTCCTCCTCCTCCTCCGCCTCCGCCTCCGCCTCCGCCTCCGCCTCCGCCTCCGCCTCCACCTCCTCCTCCTCCCCCCGCAGGGGCCTTCCGCGAGGCCCTGCACGCGCGCCCGGCCGCCACGCCCGCAACCAGCCCCGCTGCCGCGCCCGCGGCCGCTGCGCGCAGCAGGGCCCCCGGCGGCGGCGGGGGCGCGCCCGGCCGCGGCTGCCGCGGAGCCTGGGCGGCCAGCTCGGCGCCGGCGGCGGCAAGCGTTGCCGTCGGCGGCGGCGGCGTTGCCGTCGGCGGCTGCGGCGGCGTCGGCGCCGTAGTCCTCCTCCTCCTCCTCCTCCTCCTCCTCCTCCTCCTCCTCCTCCTCAACCTCAGCTCCCCTGCTCCCTCCTTCATTCTCCCTCCTCGGGGGACGGAGGAGGCCCCCCCCCCCCCACTCCCCCCCCCAACTCCATTGTCCCCATCCTCCTTTCCTCCTCCATACTCCGCTCACCTTCTCACCTGTCTCCTCTTATCTCCCCTCCTCCTCCCCCCTCCCAGCACCTATTGTACTAACTTCGTCTTTCTCCCCCACCCCCCCTCCCCATCACACTTCTCTCTCTCTCTCTCTCGCTCTCGCTCTCTCTCTCTCTCTCTCTCTCTCCTTCCGCCATTTCGCCCCCCTACCCCATCCTCTGGGGGCCGCCCTTGTGGGGCCGCAGTAGCTGGAGTCAGGGGATCGTGCCACATCGCCGATGCATCGGCAGTGCACCTGCGACGTCGTGATGGAGAAGATCGGACTCAAGATTGTGGCGCATCGCCAGAGTGAACATCGGCGATGTTTGAGCAGGGACCGACCGTCCCCGCATTCCTATAGGCCTATCAGCAATCCTAGAACCCAGACGTGTTCAAATAGCAAGAAACATGTTCTTAGAACATACAACCGATGTGTTAAAACAAGACAGTCCCAGCCAGAAATGTTATAAGAGCGGATCTCGTGCAAACCACAAAAGGTTCTCAGAACATTATTTGGCAGGCCTGCAGCCGAGCCAGGACGCTTCGCCACTGCTTGAGATGTAGCGCGATCCTCCGAGCCTCACGCTCCGACTGGAGGTGTGCGGCATGGATCCACCCTACTCCTGCCCTCCCGCCCTGCCTCTCTCCACGACAACCTCCCCCCTCCGCCCCCCTCTCCTCCTGCCTCCCTCCAGGCATTGTGAAGGGGCCCTGGGACACACAACTAGATCGACACAAATCACAGGATTCCCCCTATTTTCCCATAGTTTCTTGGTCTTCGTCTTCCCCCCCACTTCCCATATTCTCCCATATTTTCTGGGGGAATCGACGATTCATTGTGTCTGTGTGTTTTTTCCCTCCAGCACGTCCAGACGTTAACTCGCCCGCTCCCGGCAGAGTCTGGTGCTGAGAGCGGCGACGGCGAGGGCACAAAGGGCGCGAGAAGCACACTGACCACAGCGAAAGGCGCGGCAGGGGAGGAGGGACGAGGGGAGGCAGGGGGGGGAGGAGGGCTTCTTAAAAGCACCCCTGCTTCTTAGAAGGGGCGGGCCTTGTCTGTAGGTGCAAGGCCGGCGCCTTCTGAGAAGCAGCCTCCTTGTAAGAAGACTTCCCCCCCTCCCCCATTGCCACCCTGTGCGCGCCGCCAGCAGAGGCTCCCCCGAAGGCCCCCCCTGCCCCCCCATGGCGCGGCTCGGCAGGGACGGCGAGCGAGGAGGGAGGGGGGGGGAGCATCGGGAGCGGCCACGAAGGGGGGCGTCCAAGAGGGGGGGGGGGGGGGGCAGATCATGGCTCGCGGCACGTGCGCGGTCCAGGGGGGGGGGGGGGGGGCAGGGACGTAATGACATAAGAAGGAGCGACGTGAAGTCTGGGGAGACATCGTGGCACGCCATGACATCCACCACCACCCCCTGGCCCCCCCCCCCCCTCTTGGCCGCCCACGAGCGCAGGCGCAGACGGGCGGCCCCGAACAAGGGGGGCCAGGAGCGAGGGGCCCCTCGCGGCGAGCGAGCGACCGTGAGGTGCGACGCCGTCCGGGCGGCGCAGGCGCAGGGCGCGCTGGAATCGGTGCCGGCTGTCGGTTTCGTCGGGAAGGAGGGGGGCGACATCCCTGACCTTCCAGGAGGGCTAAAAAACAGCACCCGATTTAAAAACCTATCCCAAAGCTATTCTACGTCTTGGTTTTAGGCTGTTTCGCTAAGCTTTTTAGGTTTTTAGGTCTCCAGTGCCAAAAAATAGCTCTCTGGAAGGTCAGGGATTTCGAGCCCTCCGCCCCAGGCCGAGCTGGCCCCTGCCAGCAGGCCCCCGAGCGCCCCCCCCAAATGCCCCAGGAGGCCCCCGCGAGGCCGAGGCCAGGCCCCCAGGGAGCCCTCGGAAGCCCCCGGGAGGCCCCCCAAAACACCCCCAAGACCGCCTCGCGGCCTCCCGAGAGATCACCACCGGAATCCGAGCGGCATCTGACCTACCATCGGAAGCTGGGCGAGGGCTGGCAAGTTCGTGGCTGCTAAAACGGTCTCCCCGGAAGAAAAAAAACAAGCTCCCGGAATCAAGCTCAGCGCGCTAAGTTGTAAACAGGCTGCTTCCCGGAAGAGAAAAAACAAATTCCCGGAGCTCCGTTTGGGCAGCCACGGGTTTGCCAGCCTTCGACCGGCCTTCTGATCTGACCTACAACCACGGCACGGTTGCAGAATGGGCTGAAAATCACCGATGCTCGCTGAAGTGGGGAACCCGATTGGAGCTTCGATTACAGTACGACCTGGTTCCAAAGAAAAGTTTTGGACGTTGCCCACGCAAGCCGACCGACCCGAACACCAACCACAGTACCGACCGCTCAGACAGAACACCTGAAGCAACTATTCGGTGTTGCAAGACAGAAGACTTGAAGAACACCTGAATCACCTTCTCGAGCAATCGGACAGACAGGAGGCGCATCTGGTCAGTGAAGTCTGCCTCCAGCGGTACGGTGCCTCACTTCGGCATATTTGATTTTAGGCCGCAAGGACCTCTGCAGCATAACAAACACCTTGTACCTTGGGGACCGCCGTGGCATTCGAAAGAACAAACCCCGCAACGTCCACAGGAGGAGGAGGAGGAGGAGGAGGAGGAGGAGGAGGAGGAGGCGGAGGAGGAGGAGGAGGAGGAGGAGGGGGGGGGGAGGAGGGGCAGGAGGGGGAGGGGGAGGGAGACGACGATGACGACGATGCCGACGACGACGACGACGAGGACGACGACGACGACGACGACGGCGACGACGACGACGGCGGCGACGACGACGACCACACCCCGACCTCCGACCCAGGAAACTCCTTTTCTGATTCGCGGGTCGAGAGCGCACCTCTTCCGGTCGAAGCTAAGCGGGCCGCGCGAAGCTTGAATTAACAAAGAGGGGGGGACAGAAGGAGGGCGACCCCGGAAACTCCACCAGGCGATTCCGAGGAGCACCTCGCCACGGGCCCACGATGGGAGCCCAGCCCAATGCCACGGAACGGCTCGGGCGCCCCACCCCGCCGCTCTCCCGCGGCTCCGGCGCTCCAGGACTCTCGGAGAGAGGGTTTCGCCAAAGGACTTAGGCGACTCCTCCTCCTCCTCCTCCTCCTCCTCCTCCTCCTCCTCCTCCTCCTCCTCCTCCTCCTCCTCCTCCTCCTCCTCCTCCTCCTCCTCCTCCTCCTCCTCCTCCTCCTCCTCCTCCTCCTCCTCCTCCTCCTCCTCCTCCTCCTCCTCCTCTCCTCCTCCTCCTCCTCCTCCTCCTCCTCCTCCTCCTCCTCCTCACTCCTCCTCCTCCTCCTCCTCCTCCTCCTCCTCCTCCTCCTCCTCCTCCTCCTCCTCCTCCTCCTCCTCCTCCTCCTCCTCCTCCTCCTCCTCCTCCTCCTCCTCCTCCTCCTCCTCCTCCTCCTCCTCCTCCTCCTCCTCCTCCTCCTCCTCCTCCTCCTCCTCCTCCTCCTCCTCCTCCTCCTCCTCCTCCCTCTGGTCCCCCTGTCCCATGCCACGCAGGATGGCACAACAGATGAGGAAACCAAACATAGGCAAGCGTGCATGCGCAAAATATACGTGGCCTGCACGAAAGATGTGAAGCCCATTTGGAGACCAGCAGCGTGAAGGACATCCCACAGGAAGAGATGGCAGAGACAGGGAACGGCGTTGCCGAAGCCGAGGAGGAGGAGGGGATGATACTGACACGCTTGCTCGGGCATCCCCAGGACTCTGGCTGACACATCTGGCAGGATCACATTATTCAGGAAGTTGCGCTTTACGGGGGATCCTTGTTGGTCGGGTGTGTGTGTGTACTCACTACATGCGCAAGCTTCACGTTGCAGGCTGGCGAGAGAATCTTCAGATCCGAATTGTTCACAGCTAGCGGGCGCGTAGAGCCAGGGTCCATGGCCACCCTGCTGCAATCGTCACCCTGCTTTCCCTTTGGACGAAAACTAACGAAGGATCGTTCAGTCCAACCGGTGGAGGCATGCCACTCAGCATGAGCTGGAGGAGGCCAAGCGGAGTCTCAGCCGGAAGGGGCCTCTGCTGCCATGGAGCATACAGCAATCCGTCAGACCCACGGGCCGTCGGCTTGGCACGACGGACGCATCGTCTCCATGATCTGCACAACCGCCGGGGGCGAGGCATCGGACCAATCGAATCTGCACCGCGCGCTCCTCTAGAAGCACTTCCGCACATGTTGAGGGGGGGGCTTTCGGGGAGATCGCAGGGGCCCGGCGCTGGTGCAGCACCCCAGCCTCAGGTCGGGCCTGTCCCCCTACAGGCCGATTTTCGAGGAAATGCTAAGAGTCGAAAAATATATTCAAACATTGCATTCAACAAATAATGAAAACATTATCCCCTGACTATTTTTTTACCATTTTTGAATTTTGCTCCCTTGTCCTGCAGCGCCGAGGGCTCTTTCACCGCCGTCTCTGCGGACTCCTGCCTCCTGCCTCTGCTGCAATCTCGGACCCCCGACGTCATGAATTTTCCATGATGTCGACCCCGACGGTCTGGACCCTGTCCTCGGGACCGGTCTTTCGTCCTGAGTCGTTTTTGGACGGTCCCGAGGACTGGTAAGGGCCCCCGAAGGCCAAAAATAATGAAAAACCTCCCGTCATGATTTTTTCATAACTCGAGGGGGTCTGGGATAGCTGCTGCTGAGGGGATTCGTACTCATGACGAAACGCGGCGGCCAACCCCAGCGACACCGCTCCCTCCAGCCACAGCACGAGGCGCTCCGCGGCGGCAGGGGCGGAGGCCAGCATGCGAGAGACAAGGGCCACGCCATCCTGATCAACAGCCCTGGAAATAGAGCGACCTATCCAAAACTCTGTCTTGAACTCTGGAGCCCGAACACGGATCAACGAGTATCTGGCCATCCGAACGGCCTCCCGAAGGAAACGTTCATACCCTCGCCGCTTGGCAACGGGAGGCTTCGAGGAGATGGAGGAGAAGGTAAGCAAGAGAGCAAGGTGGTGCGATAAGGTGGGGGGGCTGGCACAGAACACGAGGGATGGGCTGCTCATGCTCAGGTCTCGGCTGCGGTGGCCCGAACGTCACACACACACACACACACACACACACACTGGAGCATGGTCAGGAGACATGTTTTTTTGAATCGGCAACAGACCAGGTTATCCGTGGGGGGGGGAGGCGGGGGCCGGCCGATAACCTAACCTATGCGCTGTGGGCAACCGTGCATATGCCCGCGCCCCCCCACCCCGGACCTGCACAACCGGCAAGGTTAGGTTATCCTGGGGGGGGGGAGGGGGGGCAAGCCCGATAATTCGGGTTATCGCTGGACCCCAAAAAACAGTCTCCAGGGATGCCAGTGAAGCCACCGAGCACCATCACCGTCGAGCGCACTGGGAACTCCTCTGATGCGGCCAGCTCCGCCGGGACGGGAGCCATCACCTGGTGCGCCACATCCGTCACCAGGGAAAGGCCGGCGCTGTGCATGTTACAGATCACCAGCATCACGCCCCCACTCCTCGAATGATTCGCTCTCGCTTTCCCCTGCAGCCGTTGGACGCAGCCAGGCACAATGATGTAGCGTCAAGTCCTCGTCTCATCCACCGCCTGATCAGCCTCCTGCCTAGTGAAGCTCATCAGGAGAACCGAAACACCACCTGCATCGTGTCTAAGGGTCGACGGTAAAACAGCGACCTTCTGAACGGACGGATGATTTCGCTGCCGTAACTCTTCATTTGTGCCGTGCATTTCCTGCAAGGTGATAAAACCCTGGGACATAATCTGACCACGGAAACCAGCACACTCGACCGTCCGCGTGGAGGGGTTTTGATGGAGAAGAGCACGAGTGTTCCAGGTGGATAAAGATGGGGAGCACGGAGCAGCCAGACTCGAGAGATCTCAATCCAAGGCAGCACCGTATCATTCCAATCCGCCATCGTACTTCGTCAGGGGCATGAGAGCGTGCATTGGAACAAGCCAGCATTACGTCCTTGTCCCCAGCTTGATTCTGAACTGCCACGTAGTTCCATAATAGAACTCAGCTCTTCCTCCTCCTGCTCCTCCTGCTCCTCCTGCTCCTCCTGCTCCTCCTCCTCCTCCTCCTCCTCCTCCTTCTCTCCCTCGCACCCCCTCGTCATCGGTCTCCCCTTCGTCCTCCCTCCCTCCTCCCCCCCTCCCCTCTCGTCGTTGACCCCCCCCTTTGCAGCTCCCCGCGGACGCGCGCCCTCAGGGGCGCCGCGGGCGCGCCGCGCGAGGGGTCCGTCGGGGGCCCCGCCGGCCCCTCCGGCGGAGACCCAGCGGCCGCGCTGGCGGCGCTAGCCTTGCGGGGGGGGGGGGGGGGATGGGGGGGCGACGAAGACATCGGGCGCGGCCCAACCGACCCCAGAGATCCGAGGTCGCGATCTTTCAATACGGGGCAGGTTTTAATACATGCGATTTTTTAAATATAGGATTTTAAATACATGATCAATGTATGAATACATTGATGCATGAACTCATCGTTGAATTTAATACTAAACCCCTGCATGTTTAATACATGAACCGCACGCGGAGCATGTATTAAAAACGGCACTGTACGGGGTCCCCCGAAGTCTCGGCCCATTCCCCAGGACCTGCTTTTCATCCCGAGTCGTTTTTGGACGGCCCCGGGGCCCGGCCAGGGCCGCTATAGAGGCCGAAGAGCGAGAACAACCTCCGTCTCGATGTTTTCCCGTGCGTTGGAGGTCTGGGACCTCGCCTCTCAAGCTGCCCCCCTGGCAGCACACGCGCACGCGTCGTGGGGCGTGTCGCGGGGAGGGCCGCCACGGCAGGGGCGCTATGGCCTTACCAGGTGGCGGCTCTCGGCCGCCCCCGAAGACCACTCGGGGCGAGGACTGCGGGGACGAGGCCGAGGGACCCGACGGCGCGCCGGCGGCGGAGGAGACGACGGCGCCGGCGCTGGCGGCGGCGCTCGCCAGCGTTCAGTGGGGCCTGCCCCTCTACAAGGGGGAAGAGTCAAAGATCGTCAAAAGATAATATGGGGGCAATCATTTGGACGTTTCCTGCTATATTTTGGGGGTGCTGATTCTTTGAACTTCGCCCAAAATCCCCTTGGAGGACAGGCCCGACGTAGCGCCAGCGCGAGGGGGGCGAAGACATCGGCGGCGACAGGGGGCGAAGGCGGGGGCGAAGACGGCGGCGGCGGCAGGGCTCCGCCTGGGGGCGGACGGGGGCGGCGGCGGCCACGGCGGCGAGGGGCCTCTCCTCCCTCCTGCTTCCCAGACCCCCCCGAGTTATGAAAAAATCACGACGGGAGGTTTTTTATCATTTTCGGCCTCTGGGGGCCCTTACCGGCCCTCGGGACCGTCAGAAAACGACTCAGGACGAAAAGCCGGTCCCGGGGAATGGGTCCAGACCGCTGGGGGTCGACGTCATGAAAAATTCATGACGTCGGGGGTCTGGGTTTGCAGTCCTCCCTCCCTCTCCCCTCCCTCCCCTCCCCTCCCCGCGCGCGCCCGCGCGGTCGGGGAGGGGGCGGCCGGGGATGTCAGACTCCTGGGGTCCGCGGTCGGCGCGAGGGCGCCTAGGTTCCTGGGGAGGTTCCCGGCTGATGGTGGCGCAGCGAGGGCTGCGTGAGGGGAGGAGGGGGAGGAGACTCAAGAGGAGAGCTGGTGAGGGGCAAAAGGAAGGAAAGGAGGGGCGGAAGGGGGAGAGGTGGTGACCTCCGACCCCCCCCACCCACTGCCGATTCACCCGAATCAATGGGAGGCGGGAGTCACCTGTCGGATTTTTCCACCTGTTCGAAGAGTCCGAATCCTGCCCCCGCCGCCCATCGAGTTGCCCGAAGCGTTCTTCGGAGAGGGAAGGAGTTCTAACTTCGCCGCCGAGAGAGAGACATCAGGGATGGAGCAAGGACGGGCCAGGGAGAGGCCATGGAGGGATCGCGGATGAGATCCAGGACTCGAGCTCAGCACTTCGGAAACACGAGGCGGTGTATCCTAGCAAGGTACTCGCGCCTGGCCTTCTTGGAAGCTTCGACGGTTCCACCAGGCCACTGCGTGAGGGAGGGCGGATGAGGGCGGATACAAGGAGGAGGAGGAGGAGGAGGAGGAGGAGGAGGAGGAGGAGGAGGAAGAGGAGGAGCAGGAGGAGGAGCAGGAGGCAGAAGACAACACGTATGCTGAAGCAGGGACGAGCGAAAATGGACAAGGCAGGACTCATAAGGAATGCTTGAGGGAAGAGGGAGAGGGAGGGAAGGCAGTGGGAAGAGGGAGAGGAAAGGCGGAAGAAGGGAACACGATCAAATAGGCCGTGTGCGGAATGGATGAGGCAAGATAGATCAGAAGAATTGGGAGGATGAGGAGGAAGAGGTGGTGGCGTAATGACAGACTCTCGCATAGGTGACCGGCCCAGGTGTATCGATTATGCTGCACTGCATCGGCGCATTCGCATATGTGTACTTTGGGGGCGAAGGCTACCCCCTTCTTTTACAGCATTGCATCTAATTCTGCGCACTTGCTGTATGTCCATTTACTCCTTCACCTTGAATTCAAGAATGGTCGGGCCCGTCATGATGCTTCGCAGTGATCTGCTGGCCGAAGCCGCGGCGGCTTCGAACTCGATCCAACACTGCCCATACGCCGCAACCGGGCCAGATCCAATTCACGTCTCTCGAGAACTTGAAACAGTGGCAAGGCGCTGAGCTGGACATCCACCAGAGTGGGCTCCACGGTCCCGCCTCAAGGCAACGCCGTCAACCCACCTCTGTGGTCAATTCACTTCCGTGTGCAGCGCGGTCAGCGCCTCGCTGGCAGCAGCAACATGAACGCAAATGTCACCGACAAGGCCTCCTGATTGGTCCACTTATCAAGCTGCTTGAAGCCCACGCATTGGTCGCGCTCGGGACAGTGTTTTGGCCCTTGTAGAACACCTTCTCGCGACACTGGCTTGCAATAGAGCCAGCCTCCTCCTTGCAACGTCTCAGGAAGAATTTCACGCCTGAAGTGGTAGAACCCGCATGTCGAGCTGGCCTACCAGCGGCCCGCAACGCCTCAATCCATTCACAAAGTTGAAAATCAAGCTGCTCAACATCAGACTCCACTGGCACATTCTGAGACTCCGCCCAAGAAGTGAAAGCCATAATCATCCTGTAATATCGCTGCAGGGTACGAGGCTGCACTAAAGTTTGCGACAACTTCCCAATCGCCCTGCGCGCCCGAACACGGGCCACCAAATCCTGTTCATAGTCAATGCACCTCCAGCGCGGCATGCTGGGCCATGGTGGTGCCGCCCCCTCTGGAAGGGCCGTCGGCAGGATTCTTACCTGTCTCGGAGTACCTGTAGATCGGTCGCGCTGAAGCTGCCAGAACCAAGGCCGACACCCTCTAGACAGCAGCATTGAGCACATGCGAAGAAGAGCGCCCTCGATACCACACCAATGCCCACTTCTGAATCCATGAGATGGGCAAACCTCGTAAACAGATGATGGCACACGCGGAAACTCCAAAATAAAGCAGCGAGCGCACTGAGAACCTCCAGAGCTGTGATGCGGCTCTTGCATCTCCAGCGCCAGACCAAAACCGTCTTCCATGTCCAGAGCGCCACGCCGATAGGCCTTCGAGGTCACAAGTCGGGGCGCACCATCTCCAGCGAAACTAGTCGAACGTCCGAGCCTCGAACTTCAGCACGCCTGACCATCTCCTCGACCATCTGCGCGCTCATGTCCTGCTGGGCCTCGCGGCCACGCAGATCCTTGTGGTGAATCAACGCGCCCTCGTCGTTGTCGGCCGCCATCCGCACCGCGCCTTCGGACGCGTCGAAGCCGCCGCCCTGCTGCCGCAGCTGCTCATCGGTCGGGGCGTCGTCAAGGTATTTCTGGCAGTGCGCCCAGTGCCCCAAGATCCAGGCCACCACTGCACGCTGGAAGGAGCTGCCCAGCAGCGCGCAGCGGACCGCCTCCAGCTCGCGGGTCCTGCGGAACCGAGCTGCCCTGGCCGTCGCCGTGCGACCAGGGGGGAAGTCCATCGGCATCTCCCGCTCGAGGGAATCCGCAGGCTCCAAGTCGCCGCCATCCCAGCGCAAGCCGTGAGCATCTCGGAACTGGTAAGGAGCATAGCAGTACTCGTGAGTGCGCCAGCGCGCCAACTCCTCCTCCGAGCACTGGCGCAGACCCTTGGGCTTATACCCAGCGCACGCCCTCGGGGCGCAGCGGGCGAAGGTCGGCAGCCTCTGCTCCTCGCAGACTGTGCCGCACCAGTGACGACTTTCACGAAGCCACCGCTTGAGATCGCCCGCGCCACCTGGGATCACGAAACTCTTGGCCTCCTGCATCTCGTCGACAACGACCTGCCACGGAGTCGCCAGGTCCCGGTCGCACCAGTACAGCCTCTCTCGCCGAGCGCGCGAGCTGTCGGCGGCCTCGATGACCGCCGGCTGCAGCCCCGGCGCCTGCGACATGGCTTGCCTATCCTTGGCCTCCATGAAGGACGCGTGCTCGATCAGGTTGAAAAGCTGCACCTCTTCGGGGAAAACGCGACGCATCAAGGCCTGCGCCCGCAGGATCTCGAAGAAGAGGCCAGACCGCTTACCTTGCAGCCCGCGCCTGTCCACGCTGAGGCGAGCCAGGTCTGCGCAGGGGGCCCCCGCGCTGCGGAGGACCCAGCGCGCATGTCAGCGCGATCTCGGATAATCCTCACGTCCTTCTCCACCAGCAGCTGCGCGTCGCCGAGCTCCATCACATCAGGCCAAGCATGCCGCACCACACGGCACGCCCCCGCATCGGTCTCGGAGGCAGCATGCACAGCGATGCTCAAGCCCAGCATGTCGAGAGCTCGCCCGACGCCACCTACGCCGTCGAACAGAGAGATCAACGCGCCCTCATCCTGCAGTCTGCCGCCGCGCCTAGCCCGAGCTGCTCGCGCGGCCGCGACCCCATGAGGAAGGAGTCGCACGGCTCTCCGCACGGCTCCCTTCTGCTCACTGGCATCCGACACCGTCACCAAACCGCTGATGGGGGTCCGCAGGTCACACCTCATGAATGGTAAGAGCCCCAGCGCGATGAAGATCTCCCTGAAGATGAGGCAAGGTAGGCGGCGCTTACCTTCCCAGCGGACCACGGCCTGCCACAAATGGTCGAAGGCGGACATCGCCTCCCTGCGGAACATCATAGCTCGCACCCAGCGGCCTGCCAGCACCTGCAACCACCTCTGCGTCACCTTCTCGCGGTCCAGCGTGTAGAGGCTGAAGATCACCAGTTTGTAAGTGAAGTCCTTGGGGGGGGGGGGGCTGATCATGCCCAGCTCGCAGTCCACGAACTCGCCCAAAGCTGGGCTCTTCAAAGCGCGGCTCACGGACATGTCCTCGCTGCGAGGGACTCCGCGAGCGCCGTGCCGCGCCCTGGCCAAATGCGCAGCCTCGGGGAGCCCCGCGCTCTGAAGGGCTGTCATCGCCACTTCATCGGCGATCTCCAGGAGGTCGAGGACGTCGATGGACACCTGCCAAATAACCCAGGTAAGAGAACACGCAGGGGCAGAACAAGGCGCACCCCCAGCGGCCTCACCTTTTCCCTCCAAACCATGATCAGCACATCACCGTGGCATAACTGATCTTGCCTGCAGTGGCATATAAGGCGGCGGCCCGTCAACTCACCGATGTCCGTGAGTAGGTGAGGAGCTTCTATCAGGTGGGCCTCGAAGCGCAGGACGGCCGATGTCCTGGACAAGCCTCGTGATACCTTGAAGGGGTTCGCCCACTTGGAAGGGGAGTAGCCGCACTTCTGCCTTGCGCGCCAAATGTAGATGGGGACGCATTCAGCGTCGTAGCCGCGGCCAACCTGTCCTCGCACGGGCTCCCTCTCTGAGGCCAAGGGCATCGCCGGCGAGGTCTGGCCCGAAGCTGAGGGCCCCGCGTCCAGCTCGCGATGAGGAGGAAGAAATAGATCGCGTCGGCAGTTGCTCGACGCCTGGGACCCACTCGCGCAAGAGCCTCCTGCGGGTTTGCTGGATGACCCCCGTCGCCGAGAGCCAGCCCATGGGGGTCACCGCAGCCGCCGCGAATGCGCTGCCACCCCCAGTCAGGCCCAGCACAGCACGGCTAACAGGCTTGGACAACCCCATGCACCTGTGCCAGACCCCGGGCAGGCGGCACACGTAGAAGCAGCATTTCAGGTCCACCGACGAGGTCAGGAGCACGTCGCCATTTCACAGGATGATGCTCTTCCACTTGTCCGTGGTCGGCAAGAGGCCCATGTCGCCCTCGATGGTCTCCTGCAACCAAATGCTAGGGATGATGTTCATCACGAGGCGCTGCGGACCCTGGCCCTTGCCGCGCCCTGACTTGCGGACCCCGAAGAGGCCGCCCAGCACACGACGCCCTCTCACCAGCTGGCCCAGCTCATCAGGGTTCTTAAGGATCCACTCGGGGGTCTCCAGCACACCTCGGATCCAGCAGCCGATCACCTCCGTGGCCAGCACCGATCCGCAGGCGTGCTTCGGCGGCAGGGAGAGCATCGGACGTGCCCTATCGAGCTTCTCGGCGGGGTACACCTCCTCGCCCGGCGTCGCTGACCGCCGACGACTTGAGCTCCGACTCCCACTCCAGGATCGGCACCTCGTCGCTGCGCTGCTCCAGGATAACGCGCACGCTCCGCGCCATATTCCGCAAAGCCTTCACCTGCGCCAAGCGAGCGGGGCCGAAGAAGCGGCGGGCGCTGTCGCCCTTCAGCAACGGGCGCTTGCCTCTCAAGCGGTACTGGACATTCGGCGCCTGCGCCGCCAGGTAGAGCCATCCGTTCACGTCGTCCTCCATCGCCACGGTCACCATGTTCACGATGCGGCCCCGGTCGAAGTCCAGCCTTGAGTCGCAGACCTGAACGAGAGCGCAGGGCAGCGGCATCAAGTCGCGACGACCGCTCCCTGCGGACAGTGGTAAGGGAGGAGCCGACCGCTCGCCAAGGGAATGTCCGTGATCTGAGGCCCGCGGCCTCGCCTGGAGTGAGTCATTAAATAGCCTGTCATATCGCGGATATCCGTTGTCTGAGGCCAGAGGCCCCGCCTGAAAAGAGTCACGGCGTGGTGCGCCATTCCCAAGATGCCTCGTGCAGCGCCCAACTTCACGAAGCGGTAACCCACACAGCCGCCGGAACACATCTGCACCTCGCAAGACATCAAATGGAAAGGTGCAAATTATTGGCAGCACGTCGTCCGGGACGGCATTGTCACAAGCCTCTTTGCACTCCACCTCGTCAAAAGCTGACGGGCTAGTGATACCAGTCCCCCATCTGCCTCCAAAGGTGTCAGTGCGGCTGCCGCGCTCCACCTCCTCTGTCATGCATGTTGCTGCTTGTTCTTTCGGCCGTTCTTGTGCTTGCCCTTGTCTCGGGCCCTTGCCGCGGCCCTTGGCTCGATCGGGCTGGGCGCCCTTGTCGCGGGGCCGGGGGCGCTGCGATCCTGGCGGGCCCCGCCTGGCCAGGCAGCGCTCCTCCACGGGCTCGGCGAACACCGCGCCGCGCGGTGGGCTCGCGGCACCTGGCCCAAGGCGCAGGCTGGACCTCCGCGGCGGTCCTGGGCTCGAGCCGCGAGTCGCGGCCCTCGCCAGAGGGGGCGGCGATGGCGTCCGAGCGCGCTGCGGCGAGGGCGGCGCTCTCCCGGGGCTCGGGGCGCGCGCCTCTGCAGCCCGACTCGAGGCGCGCGGCTCCTCGGCCCCCGCCGGCGCGGCGGGCGGCGCTCCAGCCCCTCGTCCTGCTGCGCCGCGGCCGCGACCTCTGCCCATGCGCCAGTGAGCCTTCCGCTGCGACGCCGTCGGCTTCGGCGCCTCGTTCACTACCTGAGCCCCAGTCCCTAGCTGGGAGAGGGCGCCATGGGGAAGGCGTCCTGGCGCTCCCGCCCTCTCCCCCGCCAAGTCTCTAGAGGGACTTCCCCTTGCCGCTCGCCTTGCCGAGGCGCTCCTCCAGCTTGGCGCCCTCCGAATAGGTCGCCACGGCCGATGCCAGCTCGGCCTGCGAGGCCAGCCCGACGTCCGTGGATTCCACCAGCTCGAGGTGCTGCGCCACCTGCCAACGCCCGTCCTTGGTCGCCTGTTCGGCGGGTTTCAGCCTCTGCGTCAGCGCGTCGCCCAGGCGCGGCAGCTCTCCGCGAGCGAGGGCGTCTAGACACTCGCCTATCATCCTCGCCTCGCGCACGCTGCGAACACCCATCTCGCTCTGAGGACGGGCTCCGTGCCATGCGCTCGTGATGTACGGCGCCACTTTCGCACTCAGGCTGTCCAGCTCGTCGTCGTCGGCGGCCCCGCTCGGCTGTGCCAAGTGCTCGCGAATCTGCTTCAGACCCGCCGCCATCAGCGCTCCTGGACTGGAGCGGGCTCGGCGTTGTACTCGTCGGCTGGGACCAGCGGCTGGGGCCTCGTCAAAAAGTAACTCGTCCGAGGCGTCGCGGTCACGACTCTTGTCCCCGCGGCGGCGCCTGCGTTGGCCCTCCAGCGCTGCGTCAGCACTCTCGGCGAGCGACTCCGCCATCGAGCGCTTGCGCCTGAGCCGCTCTCGCAGCTCCTGGATCGCCCTCCTGAGCTGCCCCTCAACGTGCGCGCCGCCGCCTCCGCCGACAGCGCCACCGGCGGCCGCTGGGCCGCCAGCGCCGCCTGAGCAGCGGCGCCGCCCTCACCTGCAGGAGCTCCTCTGGCACCGCCTCCAGCGGCCGCGCCGTCGGCCAGGGCTGCAGCGGCTGGGCCACCCAACCCCGCACCAGTGGCAGCCTTCACTCTCGCCGTGTCCGAGTGCACCACGTTCCTGTTAGGCCACTTGGTGGCAAGGTGGCAGGTCCCCACCGCCTGCGCACGCAAGTGCAGGACCGACGCGTCCATGGCGAAGAGCCCCTGCAGCACGGGCAAGAAGTGCGCTTGGCTGCAAGCCTCCACCGTCGCCACCACGAACTGGATTGCAGCGTCAGCGGGCCAGGCTCCTGACACGCGGAACTCCGCGGCACCGCTAGGTTGGCCTCACGAGTCGTACACGACGATCTCAAGCGTCGCTCCAGGATGGAGCTGCAGCTGCTGCAGCGCGTAGGGGGGCCAGCGGGAGGTATATCCAAGGCCTAGGACCTCCTCCACAGCCCGCTGGCGCCGCCACCGCGGGCATGCCGAATGCCCCGCCGCATGGAGGCAGGCCCGCGGGGATCCCAAGCAGGCCTCCAACTGCCGCCCCGCAGGGGAAGCCTCCAGCCAAGCCCAGCTGCCCAGCTCCGCCCGCGGCGCCTCACGGCGGCGCGCCCCAGCCGCCTACGGGACCGCCCGCGATGGGGGCTGGCGGCGGCGCGCCAGCCGGAGGTGCTGCTCCACCGCCAGCGGCACCAGGAGGACCTCCGAGCGCGCCGACTCCAGGCAACCCTGGGGCCACGCCCGCCGCTCCTCCTGCGGCGGCCGCACCGCCAGCCGCGGCAGCAGGAGCACGTCGTGCCTTGCCACGGCCGGCTCCTCTCCAAGCCGCAACGCCAGCAAGCCCTCTCTTGGCGGCGCCGCGCGCAGGGGCGGGCTTGCCCATGCCACCCATCGCCGGCTTGGCAGCCCGCGCGCCGCCAGCTCCAGCCGCGCCTGCGGCGCCTCCTGCGCCTCCAGCGCCCGCGGCCGCCGCGGCGCTGGCGAGACGTGGCGGAGGCGGGGGCAGCATCCCGCCGCTGCCAGGGGGCAAGCCGGCGAAGCCGCCAGCGGCCCCGCCCGCGCCAACGCCCAGGAGGCCGCCCGCGGGCCCCACCAACGCGCGGCTGGCACCTGCGCCACCCACGCCTGGCGCAGCCCCGCCGCCGAACATCACGCGGGCGGGCTGGCGCAGTGGCGGCGCGCCGCGCGGCGCAGCTGCCGCGGGCCCAAGCCCAGCTCAGCAAGCGGCCATCCCGCGCCAAGGGAGGACGGCCTGGGCCGCGGCCCTGGGGGGGTTGTGATGGGTATTCCCCCGGGTACCCCTTTTGCCAAAGCGGCTGCGGGGGAGGCGGCAACGGGGTGGACGTGCCAAGGGACGCGCCAGGGGAGATAAATCGCATGAGGAACTCAATTCTCTCCATATATATACACACATACACATACACATACAAATAGACCTAAACATAAACATATACGTGCACATGTACATATACATATACCTATACATATACATATACATACCTATGGACATTCATACATACATTCATTCATACATACATACTAAAACCACGCGCGCGCTTCGCACGCGCTTAGGTTCTAGTCGCTCCAGCGACCACGCTCAACACCGCCAGTGCCGCCACGGCTACCACCGCCCTTTCCACTATCACCGCGGTCACGACCACTTCCGATTCCATGTCCGTTCTGGGAATGCCCACCCCATCCACGACGATTGCACTTTCCGCGACCACTATCACGGCCATTGGTTCAACCTCTGCAGGTACCACCACCAATACCACTACCATTGCCACTGCCACTGCCGCGAATCCACGACCACAATCATCACCACCACGGGTCGCTACACGTCGGGTCCTGGAAGTCGGGCGCATTCCACGGGACTGGTATGCCATCCTGTCAAAGAGATTCGATAGCGTGAATTGTTCAACGCGGGGTCCCTGGAGTGGGCCCGAAGTCAGAAGACCTTCAATCGGCCCGGTGTTTCGTCGTAAATGTTTGACGGTCCCGGGCCCCGTTTCGGGCCTCAGGAAGCGAAGAATGGTCCGTCTCGTCGTCGACGTCGTCGTCGTCGTCGACCTCGTCGACATCGTCGTCGTCGTCGTCGTCGTCGTCGTCGTCGTCGTCGTCGTCGTCGTCGTCGTTGTTGTCGTCGACCTCGTCGACCTCATCGTCGTCGTCGTCGTCGTCGTCGTCGTCGTCGTCGTCGTCGTCGTCGTGGTCGTCGTCGTC